AATCTTCGAAACTTTAGAAATTCCTAATTCATGCTCTATATTAGTTTGGGATTTCTTTGAAATTTATTGTTTTGAAGATTCATTGTTTTTTTCCGATAAATTTAAATCATTCTTTTTCGCACTCAACTTGCAACCAACTCAAAATTATTCACTGGATTAAGCCGTTATTCCACTTAAGAAAAAGATACTCTTTACACTAGTGCATTAGGTTATTAAAACTTTTTCTTATCAAAGCTAATAGTGCATCAAGAGGGGACCACAAGTCTTGACCAAAAAACAAATCACTCTATCCCTTTTTTGCATACTAAATGATGTGTGAGTGAAGTAAGTCAAAGAGGGGTAAAACGCCCTTCGTTTACTTCAATGTATGGCAGCAAGATTTGATTAATTTTTCAACTTCATCCCAAGCACCTACTATAAAAAGAAGTCCCTATTGAAATGACCACCTATTGTAACCATATCTTAACTGAAAAAGGGAAATTCTGTATTACCTGGTGAAATATTTCTCTAAAATTGACCAATTTTTTTTCATTTCAGTACCACTTCTTTTTGCAATTAAGCGGGGGCAAAAAACAACAAATAACCGTTTAAACGGGTAAGTTCAACATTAGTTTAATGTAAAATGATTTGGTTCCATTAAATTTTATTCGTATAAGCGGGTTATTCGATTATCCGAGGGGCGATTAAGTGGGGACGACTGTACTTCTTTTAAAAAGTAGCACACTGCGCCACAAACTTCGGAAAAAAGTAAGGACTATAGTAGTTTTGCTACATGTTTGCTACGCTCGACCACTGCTCTAGACGTTCACCATTTGTTTGCTACTGATTCTGAAATATAAAAGTTCACTTATTTTCAGCATGAAGAACATAATTTTCTTCTTGCAGTGCATAAACAAGTTATTTTTATGTAGATAAAGAAGGTGCTCCCATTCTTTAGAATCGCATTTTGTATCTTAAAATAAAATTAAAAATTCTATTCATAAGTCTTAAAAATGAAAGATTAATATGGCTATCTAGTAATGATTAATATAAAATAAATTTGGTGTAAGTATTGTATTAAAAGACTAGCTTTTAATGGGAACAGCATGTTAAATTTTTTTAACTTTTTTCGAGGAAACTCTGTGTGTATACATAGAAAAGTATTACAGTTTTTCGCTAATTTAAAATTACACCGATAATTAGATAAGAATAGAGAATAAGATAATTAGATAAGAATAGATAATAAGATAAGAGAATAATTTGCTAATTTAAATCATTGTAATACTTGTTACTAAATTTTTTCCTGAAGTGATATTTGTATAAAGTAAGAAAAAGACTTTATTTTCATTTTAATAAAACTTTGTTTTTATTTAAAATTGTAATAAATCCTGAAATTTTTTAGAATTTGCATTTAAACTTTATACTAAACAAAATAACTATGTTAAAATAAAGATTTACTTCATATATATGTGATTTTAAATAAAAATTTATTTTTAGTTTAATATAAACGTAATTTCATATCTGCCAACTTTTAATCCGCTCCATTATGATTTTTCCCAGTGGTATTAAAATGGAATAAAAATTTAAATTTTAAGCAAAAAAATACGTTGAATTTGAAAAATTTCAAGCTGCCTACCATGATAGTAACAAATATTAATATATATGCTTAATTGTTTTAAGAATAGTGGTGATGAAAATCATTTAAAAATTTAGATTATAAAAGAAAAAATAGTATATATTTACTACTTAAAATTTTACGCCAAATGCGTAAAAGTTGGCAGGTATGTAATTTGCTCGTAAAATTAATGTAATTTCAATTATCAAGAACTGGATACAATTTCAATAATTCCATTTTTAACTTTAAAAAGAAATATAAATAGTTAAAATTCCTTCTCATAGCAAGTTTAGAAATTGATATTTTTCTTCATTTGATTAGGAAAGAATTTTGCTGAAATTGAAAATTTTTTAAATCAAAAAATTTTAGTAAAACTTCATAAATTTTTTATAACAAAAAAAAGGAAGAATAATTTTTTTTTATTTTATTAAATTAAAAGTTAGATGCTACAGTTGCTTATGCAAACTTAAAATTCATCATAGGTACTAAATTATGAATACTTCTGGGTTACTGTTTTTAGTAAGCTTTGAAACCATTTGGCTCACAACGTGATCATTGTGTTCTGAGACTATCTTGAGTAGTATTTTTTGTTTACGTGTATTTGTTAATTTGCTTGTTGATTTATTATTTGTGTTTAAATAAAAATAATTATCGTCATTTGAAGACCAATCATTTCAAGACTTAAGAATTGTCATTTGAATAAAGAATCGTTATAAAATACGTCTTACCTTGTTAACAATATACCACTATCGAAATTTAAACCTAAATGATAATTTGCACCAAGAACAAACAGTAATAAACAAGTAAAAAGAGGCCAAATCAGAACTGCCAAAAAAGCGAGTTCTTTCAAAATCTAGCAATCATGTCACCTTTTTTTTAACTATATGCAGTCAAACCCCGCTATAGTGAACACGGTTTATAGTGAACTCCCGGATATAGTGAACAAAATGTTCGGTCCCGTGCCTTGCTATACCCGTATAATGTTATTTTTTGTGGATATAGTGAACCAAAAATGTGTGGAAGTTGGATATAATGAACTTTTTTCTGCCTTCGAATGTTCGGTCCCGTGCCTTGCTATACACCTATAATGTTATTTTTTGTGGATATAGTGAACCAAAAATGTGAGGAAGTTGGTTATAATGAACTTTTTTCTGCTTTCAACTTATTTTTTTCTTCATTTTTTTTTTTGTAATAAGTTTGAAATTTCTACTTCAAAATAAATACATATACCAGTGTTTAAAACCATCTATGGAGGGGAATGTAGCGATAAGCATTTTTTCTTGTTTGCTTCTTTTATTTCACTTTCCAATCCCTAAACAAACCAAGCAGATGTTTCCAACCCAGGCAGATGATGCACCTATAAGGTGTCAGTGGGATCAATATGCATTTTCTGTCAGAGAGAATGAGTAATTATTCATAATTGGTCAAACGGTTGGACACTAATATGTGTTGATAAGGCCCTCATTTCAACTCCTCTTTGCTCTCAGTTCAGTTATAAAAAAACTGCAAACAAGTGTCTCAAATTTAACTATGGCGACCAGTAAACGTAAAACGTTCTCCATTGATGATAAAATGGACATAATCAGAAAAATTGAAATTGGATGCAATCAAGTTGATATTTGCAGGGATTATTAACTATCCAAATCTGTAGTTTGTAACAAATGGAAAAATAGGCAATTAATTATTTCTGCTCATGAAAAAAATTTCGATGGCTGAGAAAAGTGGACCACTAGGATGTTGAAGAAGCATTACTGAAGTGGTTCACCATTCGAAGAAATCGCAATCTTCCAGTATATGGACAAATGTCCATGAATTTGCTAAGCGATTTTATGAGGCAACTTTTATGTGCTCGAATGGCAGATTAGACAGGTTTAAATAGCGGAATAACAGAAATTCAGGAAAAATTATCTGAGAGTCAGGAAGTGTTTTCATATCTGATTTTGAGGATTGCTCATCACATAAAAAATAATAATTTTTTTTTTTTTGCACGCAAGACGAAGAGTAATGAAAAATAACACATCGTTTACTACTACATAATATTTTTAAGTCATTTATTTGAATGATGTGTAATAAAAGGGAGGAGTTTGGGAATCATTAGTTAAATTGCATGTGTAACGGATATAGTGAACCAAAATGTCGGTCCCTTGAAGGCTCACTATAGCGGAGTTTGACTGTATATCTAAATAACTGAAACAAATTCTCGCTTTAAATTCTCCAGAATTACTTTATCTTATCTATGAAATATCATTAATATCTTAAATTTATAAATTATTTATTAAATTATATTATATATAATAAATTATATTAATATCTTATCTATGAAATACAGTAGATTTGAGTTTAGAAATTGCATAATTTATTTATTTTATTGAAAACAAATATATCTGTTTGAAAATATCGCGTCGCAGAATAAGCTACAGTAAGTAGTTGTATACTTTCTAACCGGAAGTAATGCAAGAGCTCGAGATTGAAAGCCTTCAGACCTTGGCCACCTTCAGACAGTCACAAATCAAATACTAAGCTCTAAAGGGCCATTCGTGCTGTAAAAACAAGAGAAAAAGTTGATTGGCGTCTTTTTTTTTGTTGCCAGTATATATGTTCTCCCAAGTAAGATTCTCATTGGCATTCCAAATTCTCCAACAATTTCGTTTGCAGTGAAATTTTTCCATGAAATAGTACTGGATTTATGTTCTTCTAAGTTAAGGTCCCGCAGTGGACCGATCGTTAAGACACGGTTCCCAGCAGATCACCGAAGTCAAGCATCACTGGCTGCGGTCAGTGTGCGGGTGGGTGACCACTTGGACCGAGGGTGTGCGGTATTGGTCCTCGTTAAACTGTTCCACCGTGAAGTGTGCGACATCGCGTGCAGGTCGTCGGGCTACCGAAGCGGGGGTGCCATCCCACTCTTCGGAGGATCAAAATTGTGATGGCATGTCTACGGATCATCCTCGGGGATGTTTCCTAGACCGTCGCCAATAGCCCGTTGCGCAGCTCTAGTGCGATGTAAATGAACAAATCAATCAATCAACCTCTTAGTTAAGAATTAACTCCATGCAAGCTGTAAGCCAAAAAGTTGAGCTTATATTAAGCCAATAACAACAACCTTTAATTGCATTTTGAAACTTATTTTCGGATAATAAATTTATCATGATAATTTTATAGTTGAATAAAGAAAAGTAAGAACCTTGTGAAGTCATTTAAAACTTCATCTGTTTGTGTGCTTATATGTAGTAAAAGAAATATATTAATACTCTAATGTAGAAATACATTCTCTCTTTATGTGAATAAAAGAAACAAGCTCTTAATTATTATGCTAAAAATCAAGTCTTAGAGTGATCAGAAAGTAAACTTAACTAATTTTATCATGTTGTGTAGCATGCGAAATAGTAAATTTAACTGATATAAATTAAATTGCAGAGGATTACCTATATTCATGAAATTTGTAAAACCAAGTTTTTTCCCTCAACATTATTTTACGAAGCACAATCTTTTTGCACAGAAGGTGAACCTTTTTTGCGGTATGTGTGAAAGAACTATTGTACCAAAATGTCATTTAAAAACAACTAGTCTTATCCACACTGAGAAAAGTCCTTATTCTTGTAGTATCTGTAAAAAAACTTTTTCATTCAAGAGTCATTTAAATAGACATAGTCTTATTCACACTGAAGAAAAACCTTATTCATGTAGTCTTTGTAAAAAATGTTTCACGCAAAGGAATGATTTAATTAGACACAGTACTGTTCATACCAGAAGCAAGTCTTATACGTGCAGTGTGTGTGATAAATCATTTTCACAGAAAAGTCATTTAACTGAGCACACTCTTATTCATACTGGACTTAAACCTTTCTCATGCAATACGTGTGGTAAAATGTTTGCAACTAAAGGTAATTTAAAAATACATTGTATGATTCATACAGGAGAAAAGCCTTATTCATGTAGTGTCTGTGACAAAACTTTTACCAAAAAAGATGATTTGAAAAGGCACAGCTCAGTTCATACTGGGGAAAAATCTCATTTGTGCAGTGTATGTAATAAAGCTTTTGCTGATAGAAGTAATTTACGTCGTCATTATTTTGTCCATACTGAAGATAAGCTTTTTCCATGCGTTGTGTGTAATAGAACTTTTACTAATAAGAGATGTTTAAATATGCACTATCGTATTCATACAGGAGAAAAGCCATATTCATGTGGTATGTGCGATAAAGCTTATACTAAAAGAATTGATTTAACTATACATAATCGTCTTCATACTGGAGAGAAACCTTATTCTTGCATTGTGTGCAACAAAAAATTTAGTTCAAAAGAATTCTTAAAACGGCATAATCTAATTCATACAAGTGAAAAACCATATTCATGTAGTCTGTGTGGTAAAACATTTTTACAGAAATATTACTTAAATAGACATAGTCTTATTCATGGAAAAGAAAAGTTTTGATACGCTCTTGACCATTTCAAGTAGAACTGGTATAGAAAGAGACATATTCATACATACAAAGCAGAGCCTTCATCATAAGTATGAAACAAGGGTGCACTACCTGTGGATCAAAAGTGGCTGTCAAACCCTTTTAGTTTGGTTCAAATGTTTAATACAGTACAGAACCCGTTATCCGGAAATCAGAAAACCGGAAAACCAAAAAACCGGAACGAAGTTCGATAAATTTTCCCCCCATTTAAAAAAAAATTTTTTTTTCCTCATAAGATTTTAGAATTTTTCTTTCTTTTTTGAAAGATGTTTACCTTACCATCATTTTGGAAATAATCATTAGTGTATTACTTCATCGTTTTTTCTTCTTTTTAAGATTATTTCCANATATTTATATAGATATATATATATATATATATAAATAAAAGAAGAAAGAAAATTCAAAAAATTTAGTTCCATGTTTGCAATGAAATATAATTCTTTAAAAACTATGCAAATAAACTAAGAAGGAAAGAAGAATCTATAAGCTGATGAGATAAATAAAAAATTATTATAATTTTAAAATTCTAACTATCATCACTTTTATCTATAGTTGTATTGGTAACAAATTTTATTTTCTAATTAATAGTTAATTTTCAAGACAAAAGTAAATCTAAGCTACCCATTTTTTGTATTCCTATAAATTCACTGTAATTTTCGTATTAATCTTTATCTAATTAGTAATCATGTTTATTTACGGGTGATATTTCTCAAAGTGTTGACTTTTTATCTCATATTTAGTTTGATAGTAATAATTTTTGCGTAAAAATCATACATTTGAGTATACAAATTAAGAACCAGCAATGAAAAATCTTTAAAAATAAAAATTTAGTGTCTGTTTTTAATTTTATTTGCATTAAAAAAATTTAATTACTGTCCTCTCATTTAAACAATTTAAGAACTCATGCAGCAGCAATTTATTCATTTTTTTCTATGGATCAATAATTAATAATCAAATGTAAGAAAACTTTTTAATAATATTTAGTTGAAAATTTAATAAATATATATGTTAAGAAAATAGATTATATCAAGAATTATAAAGAAATATTAAGAATTTTTACTTTTTGTAGTAAAAACATCTTTCTATCACTTTTATGTCCCTCAGTGGACTGATCGTAAAGACCCAGCAGAACACCGAAGTCAAGCATCACTGGTGGGTAACCACTTAGGCCAGCCTGCGTAGGAACCAAGGGTGCCCAGTATTGGCCTCACTAAACTGTTCTACCGTAAAGTGCTCGACTTCGAGCGCTGGCTGTCAGGCAACCAAAGCGATTAAGCCATCCCCTCTGCAGAGGATCAAAATTGCGATGGCATGTCTTCGGATCATCATCAGGAATATTTAATAGCCCGTTGTGCAGCTCTAGTGCAACGAAAATAAAGTACCTACCTATAACTTATATTTTATTACTGTAAGTTAGACGACATTTTGTAAGCAAACACCTAATAATTTAAAACCAGAACTCTTGTTTTAAAATAGGTTTTTGTGTACAAGGACAGTAATTACTAAAAGAGACAATAAACTAGATTTTTTTTTATTTATTTTTTATTTTAAGGTTTATTTTTTTCTTAATTACACCGTTTGCCCTACAATAATTCAAAATTATGATAGTGTTTGTTTTACATTTTAAAATATAATTTGTATATTTCATCTGAATTGTTTATGGTTTAGAAATAAATAAGTAGAAGTGATTTTTTCTAAATGGCACATAATTTTCTATTTTGTATACCTTGTGTCTGCAACCAATACAACTTTTCATCAAAATAGCCCAGTAAAACTTCAGTTAACTTTTTACTAGACTGGAAGTCTTATTCTAGTTATTTTTTTTCCTTCTATTTCTAACCAATTTAATTTAAGAATTTTTTTCTTTGCCTGCAAGTCCTGCTGGTACTTGCTTTCTCGATAAGATACCCGAACTGTTACATTTAATAGTATCGGGTTGGTATTGGCACCTTAGTCATGGAGGGGAGCAACATTACCCATGCCACAGATTCATTCATAGGGTGGGCCGCATTCACATATCACAAAATGGACAACAATACACAAAGAGCAATGGCCATGCTCCGAGAAGGATTCGAACCAGCAACCAGAGCAGTCGGATCTATTTCATTTCTTTAATTAAACTATTCATATTTTATAGATGTAAATTACTACAAATCAAATATTTTTTATTGCTCTCAATTTGTTAGATAAAAATTAGGTTGACAGTAATTACATTTATTAAAGTCACACACAGATTTTTTATGGTAAAATTCAGTTTATTGACCCTAAAAGAAATGGTACTGTAATTAATTATTTCTGTTCTGTATAGAAGAGTGTTGCCCCTGTGACTTGGAGGTTATATTTTCTTCAACTAGAGCAATCTATATTGCACTTTTCGTTCTTGTGACAGTATTGCACTTAAGTGGGGAATACATACAAAGTGATCTGGAGAACTAAATATACCAATTATTCTAAGAATATTGACTGTAAATATTCAAGTAGACGGTCATACAATACTAGAATATGTTTGCATTGATCTCGTCAACACTTATATAATATAGTAAATTACTTAATGTGTAGAAATGTGTGTTGGGAACAGGGAAAAGTAATGACATTTTACCTATATTTTATTTTGTTTTAAATATTTAAAAACAAAATGTGTCTGATACATATTTTTTTTACTCCTTGTGAATATTTTAAGAAAAACGTACCTTTAAAAAATTAAGATGAATATTTTAATGATAAATATTGTTTAGGAATGCGTAAGTTAATGAATTCAGAAAATAACTCTTACATAATTTTTTGTTGAAATTCGAATTCAATTCAATCCAATTTCGAATTATAATAATTTCGAAAAAGACACGAAATACAAGTGAACTGGGGAGAACCTGCCTTTCTCTCCAGTGTGACTGAAGTGATTCGTTATCTATTTTGGGTAATGGCAAGTTTATAATGCATGATTTTAAATATATTTCTATTAGCTCTCAGCTGCAGCCATTGACGGACCCGCGAAGATTTGTACCCATCAAATTCGAAAAATTAGTTGCGTTAGAGCCGTGTTATTATTCTTAACTAACGTTTAAAGTAGTTATCAGGATCACTACAAACTACTGCACCACTCACCAAACTACTGTACCACTTTCGTATTGCACCACTCACTACACTGTTTTTTTTTTTTTTTTTTTAAAGTAGCGCACTACTCTACAAATTACGAAAAAATGTAGCGATTGCAGTTGTAGTGCTCTATTTCCGACCACTGAATAGGAATCTGGCAAAATAGAGTGAGTAGTTTACAAAAAAAAGTAGAAACTTCATCTATTAAACTCAAGTTATAACAACCAGTATATATTCTGATAGAGAGACTTAAAAACAAAACTCAACAAGAGGGATAATATCTTTAATTACAAATTTACAGTTTAATAATAGAAAATAAATGGTGAAATGCACCTGCTTTATAATTAAAATGCAAATTTTGATATTTTAGAATGCTATTGCAAAAAAAAATTATGATAGATAATAAACAAAAATGAAAACAAAACACCAGTCATTTTAGAAGTCCAAAAGGGTGCTCTGTGTATAACAAATATTTATTTGATCAGTTTCAGAGCAAAAAATATTTACATTTTCACAGATAATACAATAAATAAATAAGACAAATGAAGACATTAGAAAATGATGAATGATAAAGATTCAGCGAAGTCGTGCATCATGTGTTTCTTTAGCAAATTACAAAGGACAGAAGTATGAAGATTCCAGTATTTTCGTTGTTATCGTAGGCCATTAAGACTAGGGGGTGCGATTGTTCTTGTTCTATGGCCAAGAATTCGACTTCTGCCACTCCCGGACCCATTCATACATCCATTCATTTTAGTGTAATGGTTATTCGAAAGTGTCCCAAGAGTAAATTTTTTTTATATTTAGAAAACGTTGTTACAAAATGACTATTATTGCAATATATTGGTTTTTAATAATATGTTTAAGAAATAGCTTAACAAAATGACCGTTAATTTAACATAAATGTTTTTTTAGAGTTTTCATAAAATAAATTTTGAGGTATAAAAATGTTACAAAGCCTTATTTAAACGTAATGCATATTTTATTTGGTTACGTTCATTAGAAAATGTTACTTGCTCGTTGCTTTGAAGTATCTTTTTTTAGAACTTTTCCAAAATTAATTTGTTATTTGGAAAACTAGTTTTTGACATGGCTGTTATTTTAACGTTACAGGCTTGTAGAATTATTATTATGGATGAATTTAGGATGGCACTTTCAACCAACACTTAGAAATTCTAAGAAAAGTTGGTTGGCTTGAAACAGCAACGAGATTTAGCCAGTATATAAGGCAAAATGAATGTTCTTCACCCGCCATAGTACTATAAAATATAACAAGTGGCGATTAAAAAATTGTCTGACAGTCGCCACTCGTTCTCCATTATGTTTTCACCGGAAATGCACCACATATTCATTTCATAATTTTTTTAATACATATTTGGAATTATCATTAATGTTCTATATTAGTCTAAAAATTACTTTATTTCGCACTTTTTTATATAATTTTTCTTCATTTTTGAAATGAACTTTGTAATACTTACCCTATTTTGAGAAGTACTTTTAAAAGAGATACCTTACATTATGATTATCAACAGTTGTTTTTAAATTTGTTTTTAAAAAAGTGGCAATGTTGAAAATGCTACAACTGCCAATGAAAAGTAGTAAAATTCAAATTTTGAGCTATATCCGCCTGTACGTAATGACCCTTTCTAATATATATTTTTAAAATGCTTGTTGTTATAAATGAAGAAAAAAAGGCACATTATTAACCATGAACTAATATTTAAGTGAGGAGAAACGCTATTGAAATCAAACAAGAGGAAGACAAACTGAAAATATCAAAACCTTTTTGATTGCCGGAAGCAGAGTGGTCTGGTTAAATTTATCATTTTTTTGAAGTAGATTAAACTGGCTGTCAAAAAATCCAAATAAAATGTTTGAAAATTTAGACTGATTTAATTTTAAAAAGCGTATCGCGTACAATTTTAATTTACCAGGCAATTTGGAAAGACCGAAAAGAAACCATGATGTTTATGCTGACGTGATAAATCTGGTTATTATGCATAATGACTTGTTATTATACTTGACACACTAATAACAAAAAAAAACGTGTTGTATTCATAAGTAATGATTACTATAATTGTGATTACAATTAATCAAAATGAGCGATTACAAGTAACCAGGATTGGTAACTTGCCAACGTTATTGTTGCTTGTAATCACGATTATTTAGGATTTATAATTTTGGTAATCATAGATGTTAATTACTTTTGATAGGTATCTTGATTATGTGTTGATTACATGCAATAGTGATTGCTTGCAAGAATTTATGGTTATTATTACCTGTGATCATAACTACTTGCAGAAGTTTCTTGTTATAATTACAAGTAATGATGACTGGTTGCAATTGTAAATCTTGGTAATATGTAACCATGATGACTTATAATCACAGTAATTTAAACTAGGATCACTTTAAACATCATGTACCATCACTTTAAACATGATGTACCAATATAATATTTATTTAGCCAGACAGCTGTTACGATACTGCAAACATCCGTACAAATTTAAAAAAAAAAGCAAGTGCAAATCTTGTGTAAAGCACGTTGTCTTTTCAATTGATTGGCAGTAAACAAGTATCCTCATCAGTGCTGAGGAACTGTGTTTGAGGATTAATGATGGCACTTGTTTATAGCTTCTTCAGTAAACAATTCTAACCTGTTAATAATAAACAATTAATGTAGTTATTATATTATCATAAAAAGTTTTACATTGCTTCAAAACATAATTTAATAACTTCATTTATGCCACTAAATAACTGAAAACTTGAGTAAGGTGCGACAATGCATAATGGTATTTCCTGAATAATGGCTGCTGATTTAAATCTGTATTGTTTAACCAACTAATTAGCTTCTTGTTTAAATTGGATAGTTTATTACCCTTTAAATCAAATATCTAGTTAGCCTGATAGTTACAGAAAAATTTCTGAAAGTTGTTTATAGTTCAACTAATAACTGAAATAATTATGTAACAAAATATATCGTTGGCTTATCGGAGAAGGTTGTATACGTTGTAGGCTTTTTGTAAATAGCACCTGCATTTTTCGATAATCTGAAAAGTCTTCAATATTTTCGAATCTGCCTGGTATTTTTTAGGTTTATTACCATCAACCTGATTGACTTTAGGCTAATTAGAAAATCTTCGAAGAATTATCTAATTAGTCTGACTTTTGCTTAAGCTTATTACAATGAACCTTTATAAATTCTTTTTGGAGTAAGCCTTCACTTCTCTGAGCTTATTGCAAACGGCATGCTAGAATAAATCAAGCCGATTGAACGATGGTATTTTCCAATAAGCATAAACGTATATGGGATCGCTGCATAAGACGTCTCAGGCTTATTTGAAAATGCGGGAGATTTTTTCTGATTTACAATTGCAAATTAATGTTTGCAGAGAATATTTAATTAGCTTACAACATAGATAACCTTCAGTTTTGGATTCTGAAGTTGCTAAACGTTCAGCAGATAAATCGGCATTTTTGGAGTTTAAGCTGAACAGTTATTATGCATGTTAACGAATTCATCATTTCAGCATAACACGAAGAAGATGAAATAAGGAATGCGGTGAAATGGGTGCAGTTTTGGAATCCTATCACACAATGAAATAACAGGATGGCCGCGAAAAGATGTCCATTTCCAGAAATGTCACGTGGTGTTAGCTCTTCTTCTCTTCGAGCATCGGAGCGAAACAGAATTTCAAGAAGAAAGTGTACTGGATGAAGAGGACCCCCATGGCTATGATGGAGAACATGAACAGATTCAACTCTCTGTTCCTGTATCTGTTCTTCTTTAACCAGTTCAGAACTTCAGCAGTGTCAGTCAAATTGCCTTCAAAAATAAAAAAATTCAGTCACAAAAAAATGTTTTCTAAATGAAAGACATTTCAGCGAAATTTCGCCAAAGAATTCACGGTCCAGGGAAAAATTGTATAAAATTCTTACTGATGTTGACAGGCAAATGAGACAAGTTTGATAAAATTTCCTAAATTTCCCCAGAGATCTGTATTTATTTATTTATTTATTTTTTTTACGTGAGATGTTTTTCTCTGAAGACCGTATAGCGTTTTTATGTCAGTATCCAGGTTATTCCGTTATAATATACATAGACACTGTGAATATAAAATACTTTGATGCCTTCCTACGATAACATTCGAGAGGAGGGTATAAAATTTTTAATGATATCTATTAGCACCAATGGGGAGTGACGCTAGGCTGTGGCGAAAATTTTTTTTTTTGTAGTAGCAGGTTTTAATAACAAGATCTGAAGATGTTGTCACTTTTCGAAATAAAGCTTGCAAGGAACAAATAATTAGCATACACAAAATATTTCCAATAATTTATGCATAGTTGCCATACTGGTTGGAATTTATTTTTGCAGGACGAATATAACATCATACGCAGGATAACGAAAAAAAATAGAGTTAAATTAGTTGAGTTAAGAAATTTGAATTATTTCAGTCACGGTATATGCTTTTCAGTTTTACACATAATTACAATATTGATTCGTTGTTTACATTTTCCTCGTATGAAGATCTCGCAGTGGACTGATCGTAAAGACACAGTTCCCAGTAGAACACCGAAGTCAAGCATCACTGGCTGCGGTCAGTAAGCGAATGGGTGACCCCTTTGATCAGCCTGCGGAGGGACTGAGGGTGCGCACGCGCAGGTCGTCCCTGCAGAGGATCAAAATTGTGATGGCATGTTTTCGGATCATCCTCGGGGGATGTTTCCCAGACTGTCGCCCATTGTGCAGCTCTAGTGCGACGTAAATAAAGTACCTACCTACCTCGTATGAATATTTTGCTAATATTGTATACAATGAAAGAAAGAAAGTGTTACAAAAACAAGCTTTACATGACTCACCCCGGTATGCTGTTGGAAATCTTTTTCTGAAGTATGTGAGTGAGGGGAGGTTCTTTACTCCATATCTCATTGCATATCGGGCATCTTTAATTTTTACAAAAACGATATCCAATTCATCGATCTCATCATCGATATCTTCCAACGAATGTAGGGCCTGATCACACGCCGAACATTCTTCGTCATCTAGAAAGAAACCACTCCATCAGTTAACAGATATTTTAGGTCTGTTACATAACACCGCATTAAAAAGAAATCGACGCCATTTTTTGCTGATTTTTGTGTAAAATGATATTCTGAATCCGAATATGATTCGTGTTTTCTTCTATTCTTTCTCTTACTTTTTCTGGGGTATACCCTCCATATCAATCACTTTTCGTTTATTCTTCTATCAATCAATCGATTTTCGAATTATCGATCCATAACGTCATATTCAGTACCGAATGATACTGAATACAGTTAATGTATATTTTGTATTCAGATGAACTTCTAAAAACGTATTTTGCTTCATCTAATATAGTAGAGCCAGTCGTAATGGCTAATAGTAATAATAAAAACATGAAATTATTTTACGCTTTTTAATTGTGGTGGCATAATCCTTTCTATTTTATCCTTAACTGTGCAGTATTAATACAAATTGATTGATAACATCTTATATCCATTTACAAAGGACGGATATTTATGGAAAAGTAGTTATTATGACGCTAATCTTTCGCAAAACTTTAAACATAATGAAAAAAAAAAAAGCCGGGAATCCAACTTACAGAAGAGGACTGCAATGAAATCATTTTCCTGCAGAAGTTTGTCCAGCATCTTTCTGCTCACTTCCTCAATCTCATTCTTCATGTCAATCATGTCGAGGCTTGTCAACCAATTGAATACTTTCTCCTCATCATGCAACGATCCTGTTGTGGAGGAAACAAATCACCGTGACTGTTAAGATAAATTAATGCTATACAATAAACCAATCAAATTGTGATTCGCGATAGCAACGTTTGAATACGCCATCTGGGGAGAAGACCGATTTCATATCTTGACCCTTCCCTCTCTGGTGGCAATGTGGTCAAGATTGAACACCCACCACTTATATTTCCCAGGCAAAATGTCACTAAAAAGTTGGTAAGTAAAATCTAAGTATTGGTATCTTGATAGTATATGGACTTAGGTATAGTTGGTAAGTAAATATCGTAGTGGATTTAAATTTTCCAAAAAAATTCAAGTTCTATTTTGAAGAAAAAAAATGAACATAACAATGTTTTGAGAAGAAACTTTTCAACATAGGAATTCAAACATTAGGTGGATATATAATACCAAGGACAAAGATATTTGTGACATTACAAGGTTTTCGAGATATCGAGAGTATACTGTATTTAATGCCTGGATATAAGGAAGAAAAAAAACTTTGATTTATTCGGGTTGCATCTTGACAAGTAAATAGGGATAAACAGGGCAAAACAAAGAATGACTTCAGCGAGATTTCAAAAGAATCTCATTTTTTTTTCCGCATATTGCGGTACGTCGAAATTACCTGTACTCCGGGATACATTTCGAAAATTTTATTTCCTTTCCAAAAATTGACTAGAATCGATGCCTTAAATGTTACAAATGTTTACTACATAAGTTTTTACCCTCATAGTAAGCCGGCACTGTTTTCCTGAAGTAGGTCAAGTATGGAACACTGTGCACACCGTACTTTACTGCTGCATTTGAATCGCTCACTTTCACAAACTTGATGCCGAACAAGTCGCAATCTTCGTCAATTTCTTCCAGAACGTCTAAGATGTCAAGGCACACCTCACATTCCTTTTCGTCTGGAAAAATCAAAATATTAGTATTTATGGCAATGGGGGTGAAATTCAATATTTTTTTTCCTCTTTCGGGAATGAAATTTGTTACAAATTGAAAAGAAAGTCAGAGCATTCAATAGATCTAACTCTAAACTCTTTAAATAAAGGTGATTTTAGGAGAGAATATACAGAGGGATTCACACAGTGGTGAAAATTGAAATAATTAAAACACTAATTGTATTATTGGGAATTTAGTTTTCAATTTAAATTTAAGTATTATTCCTTAACCAAACCTGAATATATACTGTACAACTGTATTGTAATACTTATTCGAATTTCGTGTTTAAAAAATGTGAATAAATACTTTATTTCAAGTTAATACACACTTTAAAGGATGTAGTTAAATCTAACACCAATAACTGAGAAGCTTACACCAAGTTCAGATGCATTTGAATGATTTATGCTAGTTTTGGTATTCGTTAGGTAGATTGTTTATAATCGAACAAGAGAAGGAAAAAGTTTGTTATCCTCTCTGTTGAATATTCCACGGAAACAAATGTTGACCGTTATAAAAGGCAAGCACATTTATAGTTGCATAATAAAATTATGTTCTTATAAAGAAGATTTATATAATCTGTTAATTGTATTGATTAATTTTATAGTATTTAATTTACATTCTCTTCTGATTCATTAACCCTAGTTCGAATGCATATTAATATTTTGTCTGTGCTACACTCATATTTGATTTATAAACTGATCTTATTTCAATAATTAGTGTAAATTAAATTAATGATTTCAACTTTATATTGTACCGTAAAAACAAGTTTACTGATTCCATCTTACTCTAAAGTTTGGTTTAACTGAATGCTTAAAACGGTGATACCAAGTAGTGCAAAAGGACATTCTTGGTATTTCACAACACCTAGAACAATTCTTGGTGCAGTGAACAGCCAAGTTTTATAATTGGGGTTTCACAACACCATTTTGGTGAAAAGAGGTTGCTACTATTTTTGGTGTTAAGATATACTAATTTTTTTTATAGTGTTTACATTTGAAAAGTAACGTCAGGTGAATTGTAAAGCGAATACACTTTCGCAGCAATGAGTCACACAATCGTCTTTGATCAAGCGTAAGAGTAAAAACAGGCATCTTGTTTCAATTGCAAATCGAAAAATAGCGCTTGCCATCAAGTTTAATGTAACTTTGTAAGTCTATTGTGGAAACTTTTCTCTTGATAATACTCCAATAGTATGAGCTTTTTGCACCAGTTAGAAAATTTTCGCAGTGATTTTCATCCATTTTTATGTTCCATTAAACAGTTGCTAATCCCTCTCCACAATAATGGAATTGATACCGAGTCACATTAATGGAATAACTTGACTGATATCAGTAGAACTAACCTAACTAACTTCACTATCTTCTACTATTCTCTTAACCCTATTTATATCTTTCTAAGACATAAAACATATTCGGCATTCTTATCACATCCCTTTGACAGCAAGCATAGGATCATTTAACTCATAATAAACGTTATGACATTCAATCCGATGCGAACCCCTTTTCCTGTATTGCTTTAACACAATGCAGATTCACTCAGAATCGCTTACACTCGATTAATGCATCTTCGCTTGATCCTCGACGAACCTTCTCTCAAATGCAATACTTTGTAACGTTCCTCTAACAATTTATCGCATTTTAATAATACACACCATGCAATCATGGTCAAGCACCTAGTCCCATTTTTATATTTTAACAAACATGGCAGGAAAGTCACATAATTTTGACCCCGGTCAGATGACGTGAACAGCGCCTGAGCTGGTACTCCTATCTTCAAACTTCTTACCGACTGTAAACGATTCAAACATTTGAGGAACAAGCTTTTGGTAGCGTTTATTCTTATTTGGTGAAGTTATGCGTCATAATCTTATCCAGTTTATTAAAACGATAGGACTATATCCATTACTCAAACAGTAAAACAATAAATCTTAAATTTAGTAACTGGCACAGCATAGCCATTTCTGGTTCTTGTGCCAACAAACTTCAAATAACTAACCAATCAACACCACAACTATCGAGAGGACTTTCAGCCACGGCAGATTTAACGTATGCTGCGTATACACGCTTGTTATTTTGTCGACTGCCAGGATCGAACTTACGACTCTCTGCTCTCGATGCCGATGTTATTACGCTTTTGCCAATGTTTTTACGGACATTATTCTCTCCCTTTTTTTGGAAGTTTTATTTTATGTATGCAGGATTTGTTAATTGAAATCCATCATTACAACAATTTGGTCTTTTTAAACTGTCTATTGCATTTTCGATTTTATTCCTTTTTAAATGGATTATCAGTGTACCGTTTTAGCTGTGTGTTTCAAGTTATAACACATTTTATATTATATAAGATACTGTTTAATATTTTTAATAAGTTTTAATACTTAAATTTCATTTTTTTATTACTTCTAACCATAGAAATTTATTTAAATATTCATATTAAGGAACTACCTAAAATTTTTTCAAAGGAAGTGTGACATGCACTAGCCAAAAGAAGGAACAGAAACTTGTGGAATCATTCAAGTTTATAAATATTCTTTTTTCTAGTCCATTACCGTTGGTTTTAAATAAGTAAATTTTTAGAAACACGTTTAAAAGAATTAATATAAATAATAAAAAAGAGCGTGATATCAGACAAAGTATAAATTTAGTGACTTAGACCACGTGCGCTACCACGTAATGCTCCTTGAATTTATCTGACATAGCGAATATAGAATAATTATATGCGTACTATAAACTATTTTTTGATCAAATAGAGCTATAAACTAGTAATTATCACTTATATTATCTTTAAAACTGAATCGTTAAATTTAAAACTATGACTTACGATTAACCAATTAGAAAATTCCATGTCGTTTTTCGCTCATCCGGCTCGAATGGTTTGTCGTAGAATGTTCTAATGTCTACAGTGATTCTCGTGCTTTGAACTATCTGTGTGCCAAGTTTCATAGCTTTTGGTCGGATGGTTTAGGAGTCTATAAAGGACACACACGCAGACATTCATTTATATATATAGAGAAAATTATTGACTTTTAAATGTAACTGTAGTACACCGTTTTATTAACTTCAGGTATTTTATGAAGCTAAAATTATAGCATGTATTATATGTTTCGATCAATTTTAGTGTATTGAATGGCGCAGTATGTCCTTCCTTAGTTTTTCTACCGGTAAACCCTACATTCAAGTCAACTTTTTCCTTGATTAAGACTGTATTTGGTGATAATTGTTCATATATACACCACAGGTGAGACAAGGCATTTTTTCGAAGACTGTGATGAAGCTCGTGGTAGTAGTCAATGAATGACCTCAAACGGCGATGAAAATGTGATTGTTTTGACTGAACTCTTGAGCTTAGACCGTCATATTGAGTGGGGTTGCCTTCCTCCCTGTATGTATATATTATTTATCTGTTATATATTATTATACGAAATTATTATTTTGTATTAGTCCGAACTATCTGAGCCTCACTAAATGGCAATCAAAAATTCGAATTTGCAATTCGAACTTCATGGTTTGAATTGTTTAAAATAAATTGTTTTAAAATTAAAATTAATAAAAGAAAATGTTTACCTGTAAATTATTTATCTCTCATGTAACGGTATTTTTTTTAATAGTGTTTCACTTTTTTTTCTTAGTTATGTACGCTGGGGCATTTGAAACCCAGAATTTTCCCATAGGTCAGCAATAGGGACGTTTATTTCCTCTGCGGGAGGATGAGTAAGGGATTATTTGGTAACAGTTTTCACCAAAGGAAATGTTGAAGCTCGCTTGAAATGGAGACATTTTCTTAGAAAATCTGTATTTCAAATTTTTTTTAGAATTTCTTTAGTCACCAAAGAATCATGTATTCTTATATTGTAAATTTAATTACACAAATATTGAGTGAAAATTTTTAATCTTAAAAGGGGCTGTATCCTTTCATTTATAAAATATGAGAGGGCTTAAGCCCCGTCTGCCCCCGCGATTCTGCTGTCCCCGGATTATAGAAACTTGAATTTCTGCCAGCAAATTCAGACAGCAAATCAGTCGCCCTACAGGGTGCTGGAAATCCATCGTGACGTCTGAGATTCCTGGAAGGCGTGATGGAAGTGAAGTATAGACTTAGTAAAAGCCTATTTTGAAATCTCTTAATATGTTTTACCGTTTTGGTTAATAAATGTTTTTTAATTGACTTACTGACATAACTTTTCGAACCAATTCTGTGGTTTATGATGATGAGTGATTTTCTTTTGTACAATGGAAGCACAAGTACAATGGGAGAAACGNATATATATATTTATATTTACGTTATTCGTAAATAATTTCATGCTAACAGTTCGACAATGAGCATACTGTTAACATCATAACTATGTCTGTTGCGTGATCAAGAAAATAAAACTTACCCTTATATTGCATTGGTCTTTCATTACGGAAGAATATGAGAGCCGGAAACTGTTTCACACCATAACGTCTGGCGACAGAATTGTCTTGAGTCTTCACCATCTGAATGCCGTACTCATCAGTGAAGCTGTCGATGTTCTCCAATCTCTGCACAATCGCTTCAGATGCTTTGTTCTGGCCTTTATCTGCAAACGAATCAAGAGATTGGTATGTTATGCAAGACTGAGATAATATTACGTAGCGCTGCTCAATACTCCTATTTTAACTTTTTATTAGGATACCTTTTCTAGTTTTGCTTATAGATTTGTCAACTCTTTGAGTTATTCTTTTGTTCAACGTTTAATTAATTCGTGTTATTCTTTGAGATAACTTTGCGATACTTTTGAATTTTGCAAATTTTCTCCGATCCCTAATGATTTACAGAAGTTGTGTGCAAGATAGATGTAATAAAAGAATAAACATCATAACAAATGTTCTAGTATTAATTATAAAAATTCTAACAAATTAGAAACCTTTTCCCTTCACTAAAGAGGCTATGAGACTGATTTCAGCTTCAGTGAGTGGCTACCGGCTCAAACTATAATCAGTGTTTCGATTTCATAAAGATAGAAAATACAAATAAAATTGTAAAACGTGATTGATTTACTAAGAAGAAGCTAATACCTTCTATTACCTAATATACTTTAAAATTAACCAATGGATTTGCTCTGAAAAATTAATTCAATATTTAAAAATTTACAACATAAAAACTATGGTGTTCGAATTTGGAGTTGACAATATATACATAATCTGAAAATTTTTTTGTTAAGGAACTAATCATTTCAAGTTAACATCAAACCAAGTGTTAATATACACTTTGAAATATGTAATTAAATCATAAAAACAGTAATTGAGAATGCTTACACAAAACTTACGCTTATTCACGCCATCTGCGAATTTTTTTCGCCTCCATTTTAAGGCTATTTGGATATCGTCAGTCGACAATTTATGATCGAGTATAAATTGTCGTGAGTTTTTGCAGTCTGCTATGCATCGACATAAACAGAAGTTCACCGTCACAAAATGTATATATGTTTTCAGTTATGTGATAAGGATGTTTATATTTTAATATTTGAATATTTTTTAATTAGATTAAACGGTTTTAAAATATTTAAGCATAATTCGTATTCGTCTTAATACTTTCTTTGCGCTGTACGCATATATTTGGTTTAGCTTAGAGACAAATTTTATTTTAAGAATTAGTATGAGCATGCGTCCTAAACTGTTATCACATCATGCTGTATGATTAAAGCAACTTTACTGACCCATACGTGTACTTAAACTTACTGTAATTATAAAGTTTAGTGTTACTAAATAGCAGAGATGGTGGCAACTACTTTGTACCAAGTAGTGTAAACGAACATGCCATGAACTATCCTCGGATCTTGGTGTAGTGAACACCAAAAACCAAGAAATAACTGTGGTGTTGCACTACAACACTATAGTGAAAAGTAGTTTATACTTTTATGGGTGTTGAGCTTCGCTAAAGTTTTTTTTTCAACGTGGGAAGCAGCAATGAAGAAAAATTTACGTTTTGTTTAAAAAGAAGGAAAAATGCTTACAAAATATGACGACAAGGTAGGGCGTGTTTTCTATTAATTTGTCACACATGTCTTTGTTGACAGCCTCAATGGTATCTTCTGACTTGGAATGTATCAACCACTGCAACACTTCTTCCTCGGCTGCTATGTCACCTGATGAAAATATTCAACTGACTCATTAAAATATAATGGAAAACAGCAAATTAATATAAAATCATTTTACGATAATACACGAGAAATTAATTTCCAATAGCAACGTTAAAGAATTTTCAAAAAAGGAATCCTCTTCACCAAAACATGTTTCCACAGGAATTCCAGCTCTCCAATAAAGGATTAGAAAGAAACTCCAAATTATATTGGGAAGCAAGAACGAACTTTTAATGATCAGATTATAATTGAAATTGAAGCGGTCAATGTAAGTAACATTTTTATGAAAATAAGTTTTTTGGAGTATCAATAACCAATTATCAAATGCAGAATCATTTTCTAGACTGCCTAAAGAGGAGAATCCAACAGTTTGGAAGCAATGAAAACAATCTTTCCACAATTGAAATTTTTTTTTTTTTTTACTTTTCTCGAAAGTGCAGATTTGTAACATACTCCCTTTTAACATTGACCACTTCAGTTATCCCCTTTTGATTGTTGATCATTCCTTTTCAAATTTTAAATTTTTTAGTGTCCCCTTTTAATTTTTTTATTGTTCACTGTTAGTTGGTTTTCGCTCTTCCTGCTCTTGTGTGGTGAGTGAATCGTCATAATGATAAGGATTAATTTTGAAATAAAGCCATATGTAGCACAGAATAATTAAAAAAAAAACAGTCGGCATATGCATTGGTGTTTACTTGTTGGAGTTTCATGGAAATTTTTGTCAAATAATCAACTGCACTGCAGAAATTTTATTAATTTACTCTCTGCTTCTGATGAACTGAGAAGAGTTAAATAAAATTTTTTTATTAACCGTGGTTGCGAAGCTGCGCGATCTTATTTGTTACTAAAGTTCTCCTTAAACATTGTTGAGTGTTCCATTGATAGATAAATTGATACAGGTCCATCACTAAAATAAGTTTTTTGATTCTGGCTCAGAAGATGAAATTTTGCAGGTAAAGATGTTTTCAAAAAGTAAAGAAAAATGATTTGTTCTTTTCATGAAAATAAAAACTAATTGTAATCTAGCGAAGAAGAAACTCATAATTTTGCATGCTGGATGAAAATGTTTAGTGCAAGAACCATGTTTTGTCACTATCGTGTCTAAAACTGAGACGATTTCCAGATAAATTGCTTAAAATATACGAAACTTGGCTAAAATAAAAAAAAAGGTTGAAATTAAAACGGCGAATTTAAATTTATTTAAGCAATGTGTAAATTATACTGAAGGCTGCAGTGAGCTAAATATCGGTAAAAACAAGTTAACAATTAAATGAAATATTTGCGAGAAAATTAACTAAGGTATAGAGTAATATTTGGGTGCGGAGGATCAAGTAAAGTAGGGAAAGTTAGAATTAAAAAACGCTGTCCGGCTAATTTATGATTAAGTTATCAAAATATGTTAACAGTCAGAGCATGAACTTATAATTTCAAAACCAAAGGCAATATTTGTTGTATCTATCATGGGGGGCGGGAATCGGTTATATCACGTCTTGGCTTCTTTGGAATTCCAATGGTATTATCTATAAGCAGTTTCCGACCATTATAATGAAATATATACCATTGTAAATACTTGGAACGTTGTTTTCAAAATAAATCAAAGCAGGAAATTTAGTGATGCCATAATCTGCTGCAATGCTGTCGTCTGTTGTCTTCACGAATAAAATTCCATGACGATCTGTGTCGTCGTCAATGTTCTCTAAATCAGCCAGAGTCTCCAGGCAAGCTGGGCAATCTTCAACATCTGGATCATCTGTTAAAATAAATGTTTCATAAGCATATTACTGCTAAAATGTTAAATTAGTGAGAAGTTTAAATTGTATCAAAACTTTTTAATTTTAACAATCCAAACTATTCTAAAACAGATGCATTTTATTTTAAAAAGATCAAAAACAAAAACATGCTTTCGAAAATTTTTTTATTTTACGAATGCGAGAAGCAAGATTACAAAACAGACATGTAGTGCTAGATCTTCAATACCAAGATCTCTCCTTATGGGTGTGGATTATTGTTCTTCTTTTGCAGGTTTAGAAAGGCCGGAAATGCATCGTATTCATGTTTTTTTTTAAAAGTAAATGTTTTAAAAGTAAACACTCATGTTTTTTTTAAAAGTAAAGCACCGTTGCCCGGTATTCCTTATACTGATGTTTTTTCTTAAGTGTGAAGGTTATAGCCTGGTATTTCCTAAGTTCAAAAGTTTTCTAATCTTCATTGCGTGAAATTTGTAGCAAAAAGAAAAAATATATTATTGAAGATTAATGAATGAATATAATTATACAACATAAAAATTAATGTAAAGTGTGACGAAGCGTCTAAACGCATTTCGTTAATTAGAGAATCTTTTATTCTCGGATTTCAAATTCTGATATCGATAGTAAATTCTGTCTGCTGTATCTGCTTCAGGAAAGATACTGACGTGCATCCTTTACATTTCCTCCACCTGCAAAATGTCTGGAACAATCCATTCTTATAAGGAAGCAGCTTGGAATTAAAAGAGTAGCGCTGTATGATGAGATGTTCCGTATTCTTCTTTATGGCACTATAGCAGTAAATAAAAAGAAACTATCACACAAAAATAATTTTGGAAAAAATAAAAACTTCAAAGTGTGATAATTTGTTTTCTTCGGGATACGAAAGAACGTTAGTCATAGTGTTCCGTAATATCACCTGTTAAATATAAATTTAAAATACTTGTCCAAACAAAAAATGACACATTAAAAGACCGAAAGTAAAGTTTTAAGCTGAGAAAAGAAACACGATCGACATCTGACAAATCCCTATAGAATATGGAGGTTGTATTACACCTGAAAAACATTATAACCTGTTTGAATGTGGGTTGAAACTTGAAGATTTTTCTAAGTTTATTTTTCTTATTTTTCTCTTGTGTGATAGAGCCGTAAGAATCGTTTTTTAACCGTTCTTCAACTCTTCTTATTGTTTTGTGCACCAACCTTCCTTAATAGGGATTTATCATATTTCAATAGAATTTTTTGTTTTTTTTCCCGCTAACACATACATTGATTTGCTAGCCCTAAAAGTGCATACTTCTTTTTGAAAAGTATTCTAAAAATACGGAGCAGCTCAGTATTTGAGGAAATGAGGTTGCATACTCACAGAATAACACAGCGAGATAATCTGCCTGTTCAATAAGTTCTTCCAATTCATCACCATCCATTTCTTCAATCATGTCGCTTGAAGGATCCTTCTCTGTTATCAGCCAATCCAATATGTCTGTCCCATTCTTCAAATCACCTTTTAAAAAAGTCAAAAAATATCAATTTAACGAACAGAAAACAAGCATTCAACTCTTTCGAGCCGAATGGGATATATACGTTCCAAAGATTGAACTTTAATTCCCTATTGGATAAACTGATTCAAATTTTGCAGAATAAATAATTCGATGCATTTATATTATTTTCATTATTTATTCCCATGCAGTATATTGGCATTTTCATAATATTCAAGACGATTGGGACACATTGTCCCAGGAGATTTCTGAGAAAGCGGGAAAACTCTCAACTCATAGTATACTTATTTTAATATGTCAGTATTTACTTAAACTGCTTTTCATACTTGTGTAAGTCGAGTCGAAAATCGGGTTAAAACGAATATAGTCAGTTGTCAAAATCAACGAAAAACACAAAGATTGTCTATCATAGGAAACGTGTGCGTAAAAGAAATTATTCAAAATGTGTAAGACGATTGAAGATCCCACCGATAGGGGGAAGTGCATTCCATAAAACGCTTTTTGACTGCAAAGAATATTTTTAAGCTATTATCGTCAACATGCAGAGATTTGTGGTGAAGATGTAATGTTTAGCGGTGAGAGTGAACTCGACAATTCAATGATGGGCGCACCAATGCTGATGGTGAAGGAGTGGGCAGCCTCTTGTTGTCCATGATGGTTTGTTTGCTAAAGTGAATAGACAGTTAACAATAAAAATGCTTGAGCCGTGATGGCTCAGGGGATAGTACTAACAAGTGAGTATTAATCGCTCTACTCTCACATGATCGTAAACTTAATGTAAAAAAAAAGGAAACACATTTTTTTGCCAACAAATTGCAATTACAGGAAACAACGTCGGCGTAATTAACAAATTATAAACAAATATATCTGATATTTCAAATTCAGAAACATTCTAACGATACATTATTTATATGAGCCATTATTTTTGAAAGCGGCCCATTTTATCATATTTTGATATACTTAAGTGTTAGCGTTTAAGCGAATTTAAAAATGGTTAATTAATGCTAATTAAATCCTAATTAATGTCAAAGGTTAATTAATGCCTTAAACTCGATAATATGATTAAATGTAAAAATGCAATTGTGATTATTAAATCTCGTTAAGAAAATTAACGATTTTTTTAGCTCCATATGGAATTATTCCTCTTTCGATGACAAAATTTTATAAGAAATAAAAAAAGAAAAAGAAATGGAATTTTTAGTGTGAAAAATTATTATTAAATTAGCTATATAACGCCACAAATGAATAATATGATTAATAATCATAATTAAATATTTTTGGTAAATAGGTGGTATGGATTCAGATTGCCTTATTTCCATATCGGTTTTGTCTTGACGTTTTGTACTGTAGAACATTTATTCTTCGCCGATTAATTGCTTTGATAACAACTAAATTATTAGAATAATACGCACGCTGCGATTGATTAGTATAGGAAAAGCAAACCAAATTATTTAACTATATATATATATATAAGTTCGAAATGAAGATAAAACAAAGGAAAATTATACACATATGAAAAAGAAGGGGAGGGGGGAATAATAATTAAAAAAAAGGATGAAATTTTTTTAAAAAAAACCGGAAAATAAAAGATATAATCTTTTCGGCAGCCCACACGATTATATCCGCAAAAAGAGTGCTTTCTGATATTGTATCAATATAGCCAAAGCAAAATATATCAATACAATAGTGTGAGGAGCACTCAAAAAAATTTTTTTACAAAAATTACAGCAAATAAAATAGAACACAATAAGTAAAAATAACACGTAAAATCAGAAAACAAAATAAAAGAAAAAAAAACAGTATAAAACAAAATCTCTAAAGCGAGTAACGAAATCAGATGTACTTACATGAACGGGAAAATTTTTCAAGAATGATTTAAAATTATTTTCGCAACATGATTGCCAGATTACAAAATATGAAAACAAAGGCGCAAATTGAGTGCAACTAGAAGAATTTAAAGTGCCGTTCTTACTGCATTGCTGAAGTGATTTGTTATGCTGTGCATTGATTTGTTAGTTACCTAGGATGGGCCCGAAATGGATGTGCGCAAGGTAATATTATACTGGATAATTTAAAAA